AAAGAGCTTTTATTAACTGTTTACTTTTTGCCAGACACTATATTAAGCAGTTGAAATGTAAAGAAATGAAAAAATACTGCTCCTTCTCTAAGGAGCTCACATTTTAATGGGTGACATAATATGTAAATAGCTATGTACATATAAGATGTGTATTTCTCATAGCCAGGAAGACTTGAATTTAATTCTCATCTCTGACATACACTGGCTCTTTGACCATGGGCAAGTTAACTTAATCTCTTAATGACTTAGGCAACTCTCTAAGACACAACTCTTGTAAGTCACAGACATTCTCTATACCAATGAAATCATTGGTTCAGATACTATCTCTATTCCTGTCAATCTGGAGGGAAGTTTTTAAAACTAGGGATCTGCCTTTGGCCTCATTATGTTCAACATTTTTATAGATGGCTTGGATAAAGGCATAGCTTTTCAGATTTACAGGTAACAAAAACCTAGATTGGGCTAGCTAATGTGTTGGGCAGATGGATCTGGATACAATATGGTCTAGTAGTCCCAGCTAGAACAAAGGGCCAGATTGGTTGAAGGCACCAAGGATGAATACCCTGGAGAAGATAAGTATCTGGAGGGATGTGTTTGTTTCTTTAAAATACTTGAAGTCATATTGTTGATGAGGGTATAGACTTAACCTGCTTCACCACAGAGATGAGAAATAGAAGCAATGGGTTGAAGTTACAAAGAGGTAGACTTAGGTTGGATACAGAGAAAATCTTTTTAATATTAGAACTGTCAATGTAGAATAAATTGTTTTGGTAATTAGGGAAATCTTCAACATTGTCTTTATTCAAACAGAGGCCGAATTACCACTTGCTTAGAAAGTTGTAGAAATAAGTTTGTTTTAGATCTGGATTGGATGAGACACCATACATTCTCAAGGTACATAATCAAATGATTTTAATAAATATTCTTCAGTAACTATTATATGTATAATTCTTGATAGATTTTTCCTCTGATGCTTCCATTTAAAAAACACATTTTTAGAACAGGACTCCAGGACTTCCCACTCAATAGAAATTAAGACAAAAAAGAGAACCACAAGGAGGAGAAACCAGACAACTTAAGCACCTCTTCCATCCCTCATAAAATGTCTTTGTGACATTTACTTTATTGTTTATGTGGTTCAATTTATAAAGTGATCCCTTAACAGGTAATTCCTTTTCAATGCTTTGCCTATGATTCCAGTAGGTTGGGTCTTTGGTTAGGGCTTTGTGATGTAAACAGTCAGGCTTTAAATGCAGATGTGTTGAACTGAGGCACTTTTATTTATTTTTAAAAATAAGACTTCAGTGAAATAGTGAAAAAAAATCCCAATTTGTTTTATTTGAAAACAGATAAATTCAGGTCATACATAAGCTGCTGAAGGGTATGCATTTTTATGATTAATCATCAAATTAATAAGTGGTGTACCTGACATTTTGTTACAGAATCAGAGCATTGTAACAGGCTAATGAAGAGTATTGGGTGCAGGGAGAGGAATTTTGTGAGGAAAATGACAGTAATGTAAGTGAGAGTATGGTTCGCTCTAGTTATCTGTAGCTGACTGTAGGAGGAAGGTTTCTAGCTTGTTAAGCCATTGTAAACTTAGGTAGTTTTAAAAGAGATCTGAGCATCTGGGACACCACTAACATTCTGCAAACTGTCATAAGCTTGTCAGGAGGTGGGCGACAGGTAGAGTTCATGTCAAAGGAGGCAGTGACTGAATGACATTGACTGTCAAGGTAATGATTTTAAAAGAAATGTAGTCTTAAGAAATTTGTCCAGAATAGACTGAAGTAGAATTATTAGATAATAGCTTTAATCTGTCTACCACTTTCTGTGCATTCTAGGTATTTTAAATTTATATCATTTATTTGGTTTAATGGGTTTTTGGATACTTTAGATTTACAAGGAAGCACTTTTAACAGTTTTAATGAAGTAGAAACATCTGGACTACATATCCAGATGCTTCTACTTCATTAAAAAGTTTATATATATATATATATATATATATATATATTATATATATATATATATATATATAATATATATATATATATATACTATCTATGCCATTTTTCTGTTTCAAATAAACCCTGAAATACTTTGGATGATAAGGCACAGCTCCTCTCAATACTAAGGTTCCATGAGTGACTGGTGACTGGTGACTGGGGAAACGAAGGTTTATGATATTTTTAGAGATTTATTTGAAGGTTGAGCTCAAAAATGACAGTAAATCTCCCAAACAATAAAAAAAAGCAATTCCAGGCACTTTTATAGAGATAGACAATATTGGAATGGTGAAAACTGAGATATGTTCTATTTCAAGAACTACGATTTTATTATAATGGGAGGGCTAGCCAACTGAGGCCTTAGTCCTTGTACCAGGCTCTGGTATTCCTTGTCTGGTTTTAAGCCAACATGTGGAACCATGGTAGTATTCAGCCATGACACTCAGGGTTAGTATTACATGATGATGAAAAGTCTTATCATTGTCTTCTTAGACTCAAAAAGGGGCAGTCAGATGGCTCAGTGGATAGAGTGCCAAGACTAGAGTCAGGAAAATCTGCGTTCAAATCTAGCCTTACACACTTATTAGCTGTGTGACCCCAGGCAAGTCACTTAACCCTATTTGCCTCAGATTTCTCATCTGTAAAATGAACTGGGGGGAAGGAAATGGCAAACCAATCCAGTATCATTGCCAAGAAAGCCCCAAATAGGGTCACGGAGTTGGACAAAACTGAAACGACTAAATGACAACAAAATCCCAAGGAACTTATTATTCACTAGTTGCTGATCTAGAATTGTATTTATGAAAGGTTGGAATAGGTGAACTTTCACATTTTCCTGGAGATTTTCCAGTGAGGAAAATTACTGTGAGCTGTTGGGTAGAGAAGGCGCATCAAACTGTATTTCCCCATATGTCCTGTATGTGTTTGTGCCAGAATGGGACCTGTTCCTTTTGTATATTTTGTATTTATTCTTTTTTGATCTTACGTGAATAAATGTATGGAGACATGACAGACCAGACCATGGCCTTTTAAGGTTATGGGTGAGCTAAGCTCATCTAAGGTGAGCTTTTTAGGTCGAAAAAGACCCTCAGCATCTAAAGTCCATAGTAGCAGCATCAGTATCCATTGAAAGGTCATCATTAATGAACAAGGGAGCTCCTTACTCCAAGTGAACTTGGTCGGGATTCTTGAAAGGAAAGGATAAAACATTCTAGGGCCAGAATCCAGAGTATCCCTTGACCACATGTGTTAGTATGCATATGCCTCATTTCCATTGTACTTTTAAGTTTGAGCCCACTTTCCCCAGGGACTTTGCAAATATGTAGGAAAATAACGTTTCTGCTCATTCGCATCTCTTTTGAGTTGTTATATATCTAATGCTTTTGGTATATCTTCACAGTAAATACTCTTTCTTAAAAGTTAGTAGAACTATTCTCTTGATTGGTATTGGGGGCTTAAGATATCATATGGGGGACTTACAATTGATAGACCCACAGGGTACCTTGACAGGAGAAGTAGCCAACCATGCTTTGTATTCCCCTTGTTATTCAGTCATTTCAGTTGTGTCTGACTCTTTGTGATCCCATTTGGGATTTTCCTGGCAAAGATACTGGAGTGGTTTGCCATTTCCTTCTCCAGCTCATTTTACAAATGAATAGCTGAGGCAAAGGGTTAAGTCATAGCCCAAGATTATACAGTCAGTAAGTGTCTGAGGCTGATTTGAACTGAGGATGATGACTCCAGCACTCTATCTGCTGTTCCACTTCTTAGTAAAAGTGGAAGTTGGGCAAATGTGTTTCCCATTTATTAATAAAAGTAGAAGTTGGGTAAGTTAGCCCACAGGAGGTGCTGTACAATGATCCTATGATCCCTCACTACTTATAGACTATAAACTCCTTGAGGGCAGGAGATGTTTTTCATTTTTGTATCTCTATCTTCTAGCACAGTATCTTCCATGTATTGAGAGCCTAATACATGCTTGTTAGCTTGACTTGAATTGATCTGTTTAAGAAAGCAACCCATCTATGTGTTCTCTTCCTGTGAAGTTCTTAGCTGTATTCATCTATACATCCTCTAGAAAGATCTACCCATTGGGATAGTAGGCTCCCTCTAGTCTTTTCATATTTTATGGGTACCAGTGAATCAACTGGGCTCTCATTGTGTTAGACCTTCCTCTTGATAGATGAATGATGTATCTCCGTATCTTATCCTGTGTTTCATTGGTAATATCTCATCTCATGTATAGATCATCAACCCATGAAATAGAGTGCCATAAAAATGCAAATTATTTTCATTGTTAGCAATGCCTACCAAATGCCATAGAAAATATACTGTTATTATTGCTCCCACAACTCACTTCTGATTTTGGTTAAAAAACAGAATAGCAGGTGCAGAACATGAGCATGTAGCTCCATCTCCAGCACGTAGCTGGCACATGGTAAGTGAGTAATGACCTCATTTTACATCATTCATTCATCATTCATTCATTTCTACTATCTTCCCTAGTATTATAGATTACTGGATTATCAGATCATCATTCCAATTGGTCTAATAAACAGTTTTGCCAATGCAGCAAAATTCTGTTATGTCATGTTTTTATGCATAGATTTTGATAACTATGTATTAGATCACTAATATGGGAAGCCTCCTATGATAGATGTTAATTTGCCCTATTTTCCATAAACAGCCTCAGTCACATTGGTTACAGCCTCCTTATCATAATGCCCCATAGCTAATGTAAACTTGTAAGGATTTTTTCTCCCTACTCCCCATGTACTCTAAGGGCATGCATGTATCTGGCCATGTCCAATCTCAATAGAGTCTACATATCTTCTGAAACTAATATCTGTGTAGTACAGGGAGTAAGAGAATTGGACTTTTACACAATATTCATCGCCTAGAGTAAATTGCAGCTACATTTCTTAAAGACACAAGCATTTCAATCAAGACTCATTTTCATTCTCTTTAAAAGAGAAACAATATGTCTCCACTTACTGTTGCAAGTGGTATTGTATTTGCTGTTCTCCTGTGAAAACCCTGCCAGCCGGCACTGGAAGCGATGCTGCCAAAACTCTTGGAACCAAGGGTTTCGCAGGTTGGTTTCTGGTCGGAGTTTCAGGTAGTAATCATCAAACCACTTCACATCAGGAGACTGGAGCTTGATTGTGATTCCACCAACAGCTTCACGTTGGTATCCCTCTGTCACATCATACCTGTCAGCCCAGCCATCACTGTGGGAGACAAATATAGAGAGGCAATACATGAGCTTGGAGAAAGAGCTGTAATCTACTCAAGTGCCTTCATTCGCATCTTTCTTAAAATTAGTGGTCAATGCAAGGTTACAATAGGGTACAATATAACCAAGATGTTCTTCTAACTTGCAAAGACCTCCGTGATGATTTTTGACACAAGACCTTGGAAGAAGTAATACTAGCAAAAACCAACATTTATACAGCACTTCAAAGTTTGTGAAATGTTTTATATTTCTTACAAAATGGGGGTACATTCTTCCCCTGAACACCCACAGGATCACTGAGGAGAATGAGCTCAAACTTATAATATAACAGTAGTGAGCCATACATAGTTAGCAGATAGTGGAGGTGTGACAATAGAGTAGTTCATGACTCCTGTTTGTAGGAAATTCTTTTCTCCTTTCACAATCCTCATGAAGTTACTCTGAGCTATGGCTTCTGCTGGACTATGAGGTTTGGTTCCTTCCTGGCATTCATAGCCAACACTCTTCTCCTCACCAGGGATCACACTCCCTAGAGCTGTTTTATCTTCCAAGTAGCTGTCTTTCGTTATTTAGCTTTGTTGGTGTGTGGGCATGCTTATTCTCATTTATTCTCAGGGTGCCCTTGGTATGTCTCTCACTGCTCCTGGATGAATGTTTGTCTCCTAATGGTCCAGGATATTTGATAACATGGTTAATATAAAGGCAATGAGAATAGGACTATGGCATTTTCTTTGGGCTAACCTGCCCTCCCTTTGTCTTCTGGTATATGCATAAGGGTCTGCCTCCTCCAGGCACGCCTAGGCCTTTTTACTGATTGACTTCTTGTTGGGTTGTGGCTACTGAAATTTCCCTACTATTTAAATCACCTAGAGGTATAGTCATCCTGTTTAGTTATTCCATCACACTCATCCTTTCTTGACCCAAAGGAGTCACACCCCTTAATGGGCTTAAAGGGCATAGACCATTCTGTTTATATATTTAACACTTCATCATTTCCTTAAGCTGATTACATTATATAAGCTGAGTTAGAGGTATGAAATCCCATTCCTTATAATGGTAAGGCATGTGTCTTCCTCTCATAGAACTTGTAGTTATGACAATGAAATGAAATATTCTATAGGCTCTGCCAAGCTTCAGAGACTTCCATTATAAACCTGTGCAAAACAGACCTGTCTGTTCTCCAAGGTAAGATCAGGGAACAATCACCAGAATATGATGGTGAAACCCTTGACAAGTACTGACTAAAGTCACTAGGTTGTATATATGAACTCATAGATCTTTTAAAGTTGAAGACAATGCCACAAGTAAGTCTGAAAAGAGAAACATAGAAAACTCTTCCTAGTAGCCCTCTTCATCAAAGACACAAGTTATAGAACACAGCCTATAATTAATCTTCAAAAATTGAAGAGGCAAAATACTGGACATTCACCACCACTTAACTGGTTCTATGAGAACAAGACATCAGATGAAAGTCCTTGATGTCCTCCAAGACATCAGTTCTTCAAGAGACAGACAGTTTATCCTATAAAACATCTTCCAAGAAAAAAATAAATTTTTGGGAGACCAAAAACACCACATAATTTTTATAGAGCATTGAAACTGCCAGTAGGGCTGAGGAGAGCTGCTTAGATATGTTACCAGGTGGAGGTGTGCAGATGTCGCATATGAACTCATCAAACTATTGCCATGAAGGTAGAATGGAGTGGGTGAGGCTGAGAAGTTTGGACCAAGGACGAGTGGCAAAGAATACAGTAACATCGCAGAAGGAAGATGGAGAGAGAAACTCTTTCCATCCCGGAAGTGTAATTTAGGTTCCAGAGAGAGTTGATGATGATCAAATAAGTTTGTGCAGTGTATCTAAAAACATAAACAAAATTAAAATTGCATTGCTCAGTGCTGAAGAAAATATAATCTATCGCACTAGAGGAACAGAGTAGTGGAAAATTACTGAGCACTTCATGGCCTGGGAGAGGGCAGTCTCTGAGACTAAGATGTAGACTAGAGTTTGAAGAGATAAATCCCCTGAAATCCCTTTCCATCAGGGAGTAGATGGATATATCCATCAGTGGGAAATAACACTCAACTAATTGTAGTCGGGTTAAAAGTTTTTTAAAGTTTCAACTCTTTTTCCACCTCTTACCTTTCCTCCTATGCCCGCCTTTTTGAGTATTATGAAGGGGGAGGTTTATAAGTTAATAATATATAGAAAATACTTAGTCAATGAGCATTTATTAAATACCTATTATGTGCCACATAGAGGGAAAACAAAAACAGAGATGAAATGTATCTTCTTGTGTTATTCTAAAAATCTACATGAAAAGGTAGTATGGTATAGTAAGAGGAAGCCCAATAATGAATAAGGAGTTGTCCACAGATCCAGGAGGACCAGGGGGTCAAATACCATTTTTAATATATACTAACTCTGTGACCCTAGCAAGTTCGCTTATTTCTCCTTTTTTTTTTCATTTTGCAGGCCCCCTCTTGACTGGCTCCAGTAATTAGATCAGCCCTAATAATTAGCTTGGTCTCAGGATATAAGCTCTTGTTTACATCCTGAGTCTAAGCTAATTATTAAGTGCTTGCTCTAGCTACTAGCCTTAACCAACCAACACCACCATATTCCTGACACTGACAACCCCCTCTCCCCTCCCTAATCTCCACCCTGCTCCATCTCACAAAAATAATCAAATTAATGACTACTTTTTCTTTATCTTCCCTGACATTTTTCCATATGTATTCTCTCCCACTATTAGAATGTAAGCACTTTGAGGGCTGGAAACTGTTTTTCTTTTGTATTTGTATCCCCACCATTTTAGCACTAGGACTGACCTCATTGGAGATAAGTTGAAGACCTAACATACCCATGGCCTCGCATTCTATGCAAATCTTGTTTTTCTTTTCCTGAAAAACCTTCATGGCTCTGTGTGTTTTGGGTCTTCCTTTAGGTGCTACTATGGGTAGTACTAGAACCGGAATCAGTAAACTTGAGTTCAAACCCATTCTTTGGCATTTATCAGCTGTGAGTGACCCTGGTTAATCACTTAACCTCAGTTTCCTTATATATAAAATGAAGATAATAATAGCATTTTTCTCCTTGGGTTGTTGTGAGGACAAAATGAGATATTTGTAAAAGTGCTTTGTTGTTCTCAAAGCATTATAAAATCCTAGTTAATAGCTAGTGAATTATCTCCTGCCATTTCATCAATTCCAATAAAGTGTGAAGATTCCCATTGGTCAAACCTTGCTTTTGCTAAATAACCAAAGCACTCCCTTTTCTAATCTTACATTTCCCTCATGAGATCTGTTAGATATTAATATTATTATATAACAGCATTATTTGGGAAAGCTTCTTGTGGCACATAGCTGTTCATGCCTTGTTCCCAGAAAGAATAGAGAAGATTTCAAAGCTGTTTACTTTGTCTCATCATTGCTTTTATTACATTAGTTCATTTTCTACCATCCCCATGATGTTCTTTTTCAGACTCAGGAAGTTTTATTTTAAACTAGCAGGCTAAACAAAATGGGATCATTGTGTTCATGCCTTCTCTTCTCTTTGGGTATGCTTGTTACCTCACTGCTATGGGAATGTGACTCTCATTAGCATTCCAGATATCACATAGGCACCATGCAAAATGGGGCAGGCATGATATTTGTCATGAACAGATTCCCTTCTCCATGAAAGTTGGATGTGAAACTGCTCTGTTTATTCATTCTAGTTCATTCTTATGTAAGACTATTATTAGGGATATTATATAAGAAATGTAGGCCTGTAATGGGACCAATTTGCCCTTCACAATTCATTCATTGACTTAAATGGGGGTTTCACATGTACCTCCTCTTATAGCTACTATTCCCTCAAAAGAAAGTGTCAGGACCTTAGGGTACTAATTTACTCATCTCTCATCATATTCTCCTTTTTTATTATGAGTCTCTTGCCTACATTCACAAATTAGAATTTTTTAAAATACACTATGAAATCAGTAAGAGATATAGTTTGACGTAATAGATACAAGGCTGACCATGAATTCAGTAAAACTTGGGCTCAGGTTCTGCTTCTAATATATAGTAACAATGGGGAAGTTTTGCAATTCTCTACATCCCTAGACAATATTAGAGGATTTATTGATCTGCATTTGTGGAGGGGACTTCCATACTATGAATTCCTAACAGTGATTTTTCAAAAACATAGAAAAAGTCCAAAATGATCAAAACCACACCACCAGGATAGAGACCTTAAAATTCTTTTTATTTCTTCCCATGAATTTAAGCATATGTGAATTAGAGAGGGTCTTATTGTTATAGACCAGGGGTAGAAAAACTACTGCCTACAGCTCAAATTTGGAAAGGCAAATTTGCCTTGCCTACTTTTGTACAGACAGCAAAAGGGTTTTTTTTAATATTTTAAATGAAACTTTATTGTGTTTAAAAATGTACAAAAGATAACAACTATTCTTAAATGTGGGCTGTACAAAAACAGGTGCTTAGGGTGAAGTTGGCTTACCACTGACATAAAATACAATGCTATCATTTAAGGGCCTTGGGCAGGTAAGTCCTTTATCATATAGTCATTTCGATTTTTAAATCTTTGTGAGGGCTATTGGCCAAAAAGAGATCAAGAAGCATGTCTGGATAAGTTGCTATATCCTAAAATTGAAGTTAAATACATTCCTGATTAGTTTATATTCATATGAACTTGCCAAGAGAGAAAGAATCTAAGATAGCCATAAAGTAACAATGAAATAATATTTTCAAAAGAACTTACCTTCAAACTAGTGTTTTAAGGTGAAAAAGTACTTTAATACACATCATTTTATTTGATACAATAATCCTATGGCAACTAGGTGGAGTAGTGGCTAGGGCTAGGGTACTGGGTCTGGAGGCAGGAAGACCTGTGTTCAAATCCAGGCTCAGATACTTACTAGTTGTCTGACCTTGGACAGTAATTTAATATCTGTTTGCATCAGTTCCCTCATCTGTAAAATGGAGACAATGATA